GATTTACACCCTCGGAAACCCTGTACAGGGTCGCTATGGGTCGGAACCGACTCGACGGCACTTAACAACAACAACAACAATACAATCCTGGAGATTATTAGAAAATATGAATTATTATAGCCACCTTGTTCATTTCTATTTTAATAGACCTTTCTTTAAGAGAACTTAAACGTATATAGGACTCCTGGTGTGGCACTGTTGATAAGCACTGGGCTGCTAACCACAATGTCAGAGGTTCAAACTCACCAGCTTCTCCTTGGAAATCCAACACAGGGTTACTGTGAGTTGGAACAGACTCAACAGCAATAACAACAATGAATATATATAATAATAATATATGTGAGTATCATACTACTTAAGATCAAATAAATACAAATATGATATGATTCCATTTCTCTAACGCTATATCTGTATCAGGAGTTCAGTTATGGAGCTATAGGGTAAGCACTGGAGTGCTAAGGGCAGTCAGCAATTCAAACCCACACAATACGGAGTCGTTATGAGTCAGATCAGACTTGTTGTTGTTAAGTGCCATCGAGTCGGTACTGACTCACAGCGACCTTACGCACAGCAGAACGAAACACTGCCTGATCCTGGGCCAACCTCACTATTGTTGCCACACTTGAGCCCATTGATGTTGCCACTTTGCCAATCCATCTCACTGGGGATCTTCCTCTTTCTCTCTGACCCTCCACCTTACCAAATATGATATCCTTCTCTAGACACTGGTCCCTCATGACAATATGTCCGAAGTATGAGAGACAAAGTTTGGCCATCTTGACCTTCAAGGAGCTCTCTGGCTGCACTTCTTCCAACACAGATCTGTTGGTTCTTTTTGTAGCCCATGGCACTTTCAATATTCTCCTCCAACACCATAAGTCAAAAGCATCAATTCTTCTGTGGTCTTCCTTATTCACTGTCCAGCTTTCGTATGCATATGAGGTTATTGAAAATACCATGGCTTGAGTCAGGCACACCTTAGTCTTTAAGCTGACATCTTTGCTCTTCAGCACTTTAAAAAGGTCTCATGCAGCAGATTTGCCTAATGCAATACGTCATTTGATTTCTTGACTGCTGCTTCCATGAGTGTTGATAGCTGATCCAAGAAGAATAAAGTCCTTGACAACTTCAATTTTTCTCTCCATTGATAAGAATATTGTTTATTGGTCCAGTAGTGAGTATTTTTGTTTTCTTGACATTGAGATGCAATCCTTTCCGAAGGCTGTGCTCTTTGATCTTCATCAGTAAATATTTTAAGTCTTCTTCACAAGCAAGGTTGTATCATCTGCATATTGCAAGTTGTTAATGAGTATTCCTCCAATTCTGATACCACCTTTTTCTTCATATAACCCAGTTTCTCAGATTATTTGTTCTGCATCCAGGTTGAATAAGTATGGTGAAAGAATACAACCCTGTCGCACACCTTTCTTAATTTTAAACCATTCGGTGTTGCCATGTTCTGTTAGAACAACTGTCTCTTCGGCCATGGACAGATTCCTCATGAGCACAATTAAGTGTTCAGGAACACTCATACTTCTCAATGTTGTCCACAGCTTGTCATGATCCACACAATCAAAAGCTTTTGTGTAGTCAATAAAGCATAGGTAAACATCTTTCTGATATTCTCTGCTTTCATCCAAGATCCATTGGACATCCTTGTTCCGTGGCCTCTTCTGAATCTGGCTTGATTCTCTGGAAGTTGCCTGTCAATGTATGTTTGTAGCCATTTCTGTATTACCTTTAGTAAAACTTTACTCACATGGGATATCAAAGATAGTCTTTGATGATTTCCACATTCCGTTGGATCACCTCTTTTGAATGGGCATAAATATGGATCTCTTGAATCAGTCAGCCAGATAATTGTCTTCCAAATTTCTTGGCAGAGATGAGTGAGTGCCTCCTGTGCCACCTCACTTTCTTGAAAGATTTCAATTTTTATTCCATCAATTCCTGGAGCCTTGTTCTTTGCCAATTCCTTCAATGCACCTTGTACTCCTTCCTTCAATATCATTGGCTCTTCATCATTTGCTACCTCTTGAAATGATTGAACATCAACCATTTCCTTTTGGTACAGTGACTCTGTGTATTCCTTCCATCTTCTCTTGATGCTTTCTGCACCATTCAGTAATTTGCCCAGAGAATCCTTAAATAATGAAAGTCGAGGCTTGAATTTTTTATTGAGTTCCCCCAGCTTGAGAAATGCTGAGTGTGTTCTTCCTTTTTGGTTTTCTGACTCCAGCTCTTTGTACATTTTGTTGTAATATTTGGCTTTATCTTCTCGAGCTGATCATTGAAATTTTCTGTTCATGTCTTGTACCTCCTCATTTCTTCCATTTGCTTTAGCATCTCTATGCTGGAGAGCAAGTTTCAGTGTCTCTTCTGACATCCATTTTGACCTTTTCCTTCTTTCTTGTCTTCTCAATGACTTTTTGCTCTCTACCTGTATGATGTTCTTGATGTCATCCCACAACTCAGACTTGGAGGCACTTAACAATAAACAACAACGTACCTATATCTTGTTGTTAAGTGCTGTTGAGTCGATTCCAACTCATAGTGACCCTGTATAGGGTTTTTGAGGAAGGACTAGTGGGTTTGAGCAACTTGCCTTGTGGTTTGCAGTTCAGTGCTTACTCTATAGCACCACATTAAGACTCCACTTCTATCTGTCTCCCAAATCTGTATCCCTATAATAGTCAGCCCAAGAGGGAGGAGGAGAAAAACATAAGAAATTACTAAATGACAGCCTGTCATTGCTTTGTGGCTTATGGAGAAGGGCTCAGTGTTCAACATGCTGTGCAGGACCAAGAGCTGTTAAAAGTCATTTTCCAGATTTCCACCAGAGACCTCTGAAGGACTGTGTTCTCCAGGTGCACGCTATTCTCACAACTGCAGATAAGCTCTCCATTGTTAAATTAATAAGAGACAGGTTTACACTACAGGATTAATTAGAAACGATCTCTACAGTCCTCCGTGCAAACTACTGCAAACTACAAATGAGAACCTGTAGTCTCAGGTAAGTTTTTAGTGATTATTGCCAAGTCCTGGAGCTATGTGGTGGCAGGACTGGGCAAAGACCCAGGGTCCATCTTTCAACCTCTCAGTTTCATTCCCGGATCAGTGCACTGTGCTCAGGAAGGCTGTCCCGCTCATCTCCCAGAAGCTCTTGGGAACAAATTTCTTTTAGTCCCCTCTTTTCTTGGAGACGGTTACTAGGCAGAACAAAATAAACATACAAAATAATGATTCTCTCATTCAAGATGGCAGATGAAGATTTCCTGTTAAATTCCTTCTGAAAGCATTTGTGGCAGGAAATAAAATAAGTTAAATACAACGATTAGAAAAAACTGCATAGATAATTTATTGATCAGAAAACAAAGTAAACCGAAGGCCTATCATGATGGCTTTGTCTTTAATCCTATTGTGTCTCGAAGTCACTTGAAGTTCTTCGAAGTGACTATTGGAGTAACAAGCACTCTAAATGATCTAATGGAGGAGTGACAAGTTGCTTACGCAATTTTTTCTTCTTCGATGCGGTTGATCTTCCCTCCAACGTAGATTCTTAATTTACAGTCTTTCCATTTTTTTCTGACCGTCAAAATATAGGGGATAAGGAGTGTCAACCCTGGAATACAGAGGAAGTGATGACAGAAAGGATAAAGATATCTAACTGAAAGGCTATGAATAGTTTGCATCTTTATTCATCTTCACATTTATAGCTCCTAAATCATTGAAATCTTTGGAGAATGTAGAAATATTAGTCTTTAACTGGCATCATTTTCAGATACCTCCCCATGCTATTTGTTACATTTATCAACACAGCGATTCTGCTCCCCACTGGAGATTCTGGAATTTATTTTATTTTATATTTTTACCTCCATCATCAAATAGCCACCAAACATCTATTGTGCCTTTTCCTTGCTTCTTTTTAAATTGGGAACTGGCTTCCACCAGTTTCTGGTTGAACTCCCCGACATGCATCGACTGGATGGTGTTAATGCTGCTGTCTGAAATGAAAGAGAAAGTGATGCATCTATTTGTCTTTCGAGGACAGAAAACAAAGTAACTTTCCAATAAATCCACTGATGACAATAGAGGACAAGTCATGAATTTACAAGTGTCTTTTGTTGTGTGTGTGTGTGTGTTTAATACCTTTAGATAAACAGTGATTTCTATTCTTTGGAAAGAAGAGACAAACTTTGAATCCCACAATAACTAAGCAGTTAAATCAAAACTTGAGTCTGGTTTTATGATTACAGTTTTCATTATAAATCAGTAGATTATGTTCAGGTATTTAGGAATCTGTGCCAAGGTTGGAATGGTTATTATTCAGGCATGGATCAATGCCAAATTATCAGTTCCTATAGTAGAAATGGGAGCTCTGGTAGCGTAGTGGTTACGAATCGGGCTGCGAACCTTAAGGTCAGCGGTTCGAAACTACCAGCTGCTCTGCGGGAGAAAGATGAAGCTTTCTACTCCCGTAAAGATTTACACCCTCGGAAACCCTGTACAGGGTCGCTATGGGTCGGAACCGACTCGACGGCACTTCACAACAACAACAATAGTAGAAATGGAGTCCTGGTGTGGCGCTGTGGGTTAATGCACCAGACTGTAAAACTGTTTGAACTGCAAGGTCGGTGGTTCAAGTTCGACAGCTGCTCCTCGGAAACCCTATACAGGGTCACTATGGGTCGGAACCAACTCGATGGCACTTCACAACAACAACAACAACAACAACGTAGTAGAAATATCTCAGTTCTTCCAGAATTTATATGTGAATTGACTTAACAATAGTTTAAGATTTATTTGAAAGTAGCATATGTGGTGATTACTTTTCTAGAAATAAACGGTTGAATCAGAACCATTTCTTTGTTAGAGAATTCACTTATTTGAGCAAAGTTTTGGTGTGAATTCTACATATATCTGGATTCTAAAGGTTGATGAGGCCATGAAAATCTTGCTTTCCTTGACCTTTTGGGCCAGGCCTCTGCCTGCCTTCTCCCTCTGTTTTCCTTTCAAGGAAACTTGCAAGGCTAAGGTAAAGCTACTTGATCTCTTTGAGATTCTGAAAATGAGGTGAAAAAAGTCAGAGAATATGGAAAGACAAAATACTTTTACTGAAATTATGATTAAGGGTGTACATCAAATACTAAAAAAATTTTTTTTAAAGCAATTTCATCTTAACACAAATACAATGAAAATGTATTTGGGAGTGAGGGTAACATTTGAGCAAGACCCTTATACCTATTTGCCCGTAGGTGCTTCTTGGTCATACTGTATACATTATTTCTCATTTCTGCATCTTTCGAAGTTGTGACTTCATTGCTCTATTTCAAAGCTCCGATGTCAGTGTATGCTTACAGCAGAGCTGACAGCCTCTTCAGAGCTTCCTATCTGATCTAAGAGACTCTGAGGATGCTTTGTTCTGTCTTGCCCTGTTTTCATGTTTCTGAAGCAATTATCTTATATTGTTTCTATATGTCTAGGACAGCAGAGGAAGAAAGCAAATTTATTTACAAAATGGACTGGACTTTGCCCTCACTTACATGCAAATCAAAGTCTGCAGAAGGCTTTGTATGAGCGACTGGAAGCAGAGTTTGCCCTGTGATCTAGAACTCAAAAGGATTGTCAACCAACTAAAACCCAGAGCAGTGAATGATCCTACTTTATAGCTGTGTTGGAAACTGAAGGTATTGAATATTAAGCAGAGCATTAGTATTACGTTTCTCAACATGTTGATTTTCAGAGAGGTACATATTTGCCAAAACAAGTACTGTGATGAAGAAACTGGCTTCTAAAATAACAAGTCTGACTTTCATGAACGATGACTTGAATTCCACCCTCCCAGCCCACAATCAGTGAGCGCACAGTATTGACCTATGACCCTTGAGTTTTTCATAGTTTTTTCAGACCTTACTAGTGAATAGAAGGAGCCCTGGGTAAGTCGGTACCGACTCATAGCGACTCTGTGCTCAACCGAATGAAATAATACCCGATCGTGTGTCAATCTCACAATTGTTGCCATGCTTGAGCCCATTGCTGCTGTCACTATGCCGTTTTGTTGGGGATCTTCCTCTTTTTCTCTGCCTCCCACTTTACCAAGCAGCATAGCAAGGCTTTTTGCTCCAGTAGGTTTACAGGGTCTCTGTGAGTGGGAACCAACCAGCACACAACCACCACCACCACCACTGAACAGAGCTGATGTGGTACATAGTCATCTCTTCTCATGAACAAAATAATTGCAAAGAAAAGAAGATAGTACTTAGCATCCAAAACAATCTTATTCTAATTTTTACAGTCTGAAAGCCCTAATGTATCTCTAACTTTAGATTCAAACACATCACTGCCTTAGAAAATATCATTTTCAGGTGAGCAGTTAGTCTCTCCCACAGCCCATGGGATATTCTGGCTACTTGAGAGTGCCCCTATTAATACAAGGGGGAACAATGTTGGAATCGTACACAACTTTCTGTAAAATATTATACTGCAGGTGACATTTTATCCTACAGTAGACAGCAACAAGCAGATAGAACCAAATATCTTACAGAGTGGAAGTAACCTTTTCAAAGTGCTGAGCATTTTACATGGGCTCTGTCAGCCTAGACCAGAGGGATACTAAGTCTCAATTTAGATTCTGCTACATAGTCCTGATGTGGCACTGTGGGTTAATGCACCAGACTGCAAAGCTGTTTGAACTGCAAATTTGGCGGTTCAAGTTCACCAGCTGCTCCTTGGAAACCCTATGCAGGGTGACTATGGGTCAGAACTGACTTGACGGCACATAACAACAACAACAACAATACATAGTCCTGGTGTGGTGCTGTAGGATAAGCACTAGATTGCTAACTGCAAGATCAGCAATTCAAACCCACCAGTTGCTCGTAGGAAACTCTCCCTACGCTAGGTTGCTGAGTCAAAACCGGGTTGACAGCACACACACACACACACACACACACACACACAACTAGGAAACCCTATATAGGGTCGCTATAACAAGAACAACAACAGTTTGACTTGAAAACCCTCATAGAAAATTAATTTCCCAAGCCTGAGATCAGAGCGTGACTTTAGGAAGTAGAGAATTCTTGTGCATGAAAGAAATGCAGTGTTAGCTTTGCAATTTTCTACCAGCAGGGGTCGCTGTGCACCTCGTTAAACTCAAACTAGCATGTTTCTGGAAATAAAGCAATTTTCAAAGAATCAGGTATTTGAAACTTCCGTTTACATAAAACTTATAAAAACGTTCAGGTAAATCTCATTCTTTGGTCCTTGTCCTGAGGATGTACACTGGATATTCAAAGATAGGTGTCACACAGCTGTTATGTACAGTGATTAGTATCAATGAGTTCTGATATGGCACTCTAGTATTAAACACAAGATGGCTAACCAAAAGGTCGGAGGTTTAAACCCACCAGCCGCTCATTGGAAACATGATACAGGGTTGCTATGGGTTGGAACCGTCTGGACGGCACTTAAAGAGCAACGATATTGATAAAATTCCAGCTCCAGCATTCTGGTTTGTGATAACACTTATTTTTGCTGTTGAGGTTCTAGCTTGATTCCCATTTACTTATGTTTGTCAACATGCAATCCCTTGAAATGTCTGAAAGGGGAGAGGCGTAAGCAGTTTAAATATTGGCTCTGGAATTTTCTATCCCTTTTCGCTTATTTAAGAAATTTCTTATTTTGATGGAGTTCTGGTAGTGTAGTGGTTACGAATCGGGCTGCAAACCTCAAGGTCAGCAGTTTGAAACTACCAGCAGTTCCACGGGAGAAAGATGAGGCTTTCTGCTCCCGTAAAGATTTACAGCCTCAGAAACCCTGTACAGGGTCGCTGTGAGTCGGAACCGACTCCACGGCACATAACAACAACAACAACAATTTACTTAAGCACTGTACAGCTCCCAAACTAAAATTCTTATTTTATAATAGAGTTTTTTCAGTAAGATGGTAAAGTCAAAACACTAAATGATGCTGATTAAAGGCAACAGCTTCTACTTTCTCCTCATTGCACCTTTCTCAAAAGAAGTGTCTTTCAGTCCCTGGCTACACGTGATTCTTCCAACATGTTAAATGTTAACTTTGTGTGTGCATGCATGGTGAAAATTTACACACTTAAACTTTCACCAACACCACAACTTCTGTATTTACCCTTCATTGACATTGCGTCCATTTTTCTGTTGGGCCATCAATCTCATCTCCTTTTCCAGAACATTCCATGATCATTAATACACACTCAGTGACAGGTTAGCTTATGACCTCTAAAGATGCTCATGAGTGGCTCATCCTGTAAATTTTCTTGTCACATTTTGGAAGTACTTACCTTTTTTAGGAGTTGGCTTAGTAATGCTCAGCTTGCCAGCTTTTGTAAACAAGGCCCGGATGCCTCCACTTCCTTCTTCACATTCACTGTCCTTGATTGTGGCTTCCAATGCCTGTCTCTCATGTTCTAACTTCTCTAATTCATCTGATAAAAGAAGAAGAGGAAGATCACTTAATTCGGAGCAACAAGGTTTCTAAGAACAACTTGTAAAATGATTTTTATACTAAAAATAGTCTATGTATAGACAATAGAATGCTTACAAATGATATGATTTCTTAGAGATTCATACTATTAACAAGCAATGTATTTCAGTACGTTATACACAGGAAGTAACTACAAACAGCTTAGAAAAATAACTCAATGTGTGCAGTTTTAATGCATGAAAGCACTGGGGTTTATTTGTGAGGCTAACTCATTGCTGTCAAGTTCATTCTGACTCATAGCAACCCTACAGGAGAGAGGAGAGTGGTCCCATTGAGTTTCCAAGGCTGTAAATCTTTGCGGAAGCAGACTCCCGCATCTTTCTCCCTCAGAGTGGCTGGTGAGTTCGAATTGGCAACCTTTCAATTAGTAGCTAGTGCCACCAGGGAGACTATTTAATGTCACCTCTTTTCATTGCCAGCAAAAACAACCAAGAAACAGATTATAGTACATCTGATATTGTACACTGTAAAGTCACCGATTTACTGACACAACTAAGTCAGATATTTCAGGACTGGAAGTGACAAAATTATACCAGTGCACTCAACAATGTCTCTGGAATTGAAACATAAAACAGGAGAGCAAGAATTAAAGATAACCAAACCTTATAATAAACTCTAGCGGCACTGGATACAAAGTACAGAGGAAAAAGAATTCACCAATAATGGATTGTTTGCAAAGAAGTGGTTCTGTAGTGGGTGATCTAATCAAAAGAAATAAGATCAGAAATGTGTATATGTCTGCTGGTATCCAACAACAGCAGATTCTGCAGCAAGAGTTAAGTGCCAGGGCTTAACCCTCTCTCCAAGCTTTTATGTTGCCCCTGGTTGCCTCTTATCTTTCTCGGATTCTGGTGGTAATGCTATGGAATGCATTGAATCTCTCTGAGCCCACCCCACATTAAACGAAAAACCAAACCCATTGCCACTGAATTGATTCCAACTCATGGCAGCCCTTTATGTTACAGAGTGAAACTGCTCTTTAACATGGGCTGTCATCTTTAGAGGAGCAAATCAGCAGCCTTTTGTTCATGGTACCTCTGGGTGTCAACATTTTGGTAAGTAATCAAATGCAAAGCATTTGTATCACCTTCCTATCTACATTGGATGCAATGGTAGTAAGACTTCAGAACCAGACACATGACTATGCCAAGCTGATGGGCCTCTTTGCTTATACCAGCAAGGTGTCACTCTTGTCAGATTCCATCAACTTTTGCTTTCTGAGAACAGAGCCTTAGAAGATGAGCAGTTACCAGAAAGAGGGTAGAATTCATACATTCAGAACGACAAAACACTGGTAAGACTTCTGTAAATGTCAACCCTCAGAGCCTGTTGCCTTATCTATCTACGACGTGAGCTGTACAAACTTCAGATTTATCAATTATGTACTAACTAAATCTGTCAGGGCAGCCACATCTCTAGACTGGGCTACTATTCAGCTACACAAAACCGTCTGGCCCCTTTCCAGGTCTGAGTAATTAATCTTTTATCAGTGGCATGAGATTTAAGGTCAAATCACCCATGTGATTTTCCCAAAGCTTCAAAGATTCTTAAGACCAGCAGCTATAGAAACTGTGAGAAATTAGATTGATAGTATTAAAGCAAAGAGCAGAATTGCTTACCACTGACTCTTGAAAGGTGACCATAGCTGCATTGCACTAGAGGTGTGACTGATTTGAGCTCAGCTGTTGGCTTTATGTGACATTAGGCAAGTCATCGACTTTTTCTAGGACTCTAGTTTCCTGTTTTTGAAATGGTAAATTATAACCTTTATCCTTTTTGACCTTACCAGCTTTTGGAAGAGAATAAAGTTTCTACATAGTGTTTTGCAGCTCCTTAAAGAATAAAACATAAGTGCTTTCTACAGGTAGTGAATTTATGCACATCAGGAAATGGTCTGAATCATCCATGCAAATTGAGTATTTTGAGAAACCTGGGAGTTATTTTAGTAGTGATGCTTGTGTGCCAACGAGTCATTTCCAACTCATAGCAACCCTGCAAACGGTTTTCAAAGTTGTAAATCTTTACAGAAGTAGAAAACTTCACCTTTCTCCTATGGAGCGACTGGTATTTTTGAACTACTGACCTTGCAGTTAGTAGTCCAGTTCATAATCCATTAGACTACCAGGGTTCCTTGGGAGTTATTTCAGCAGTTGCTATTCCCTGCTTACCCCACTTTCTCTCAGCTTGTTGTACTCTAGTGGCTTATTTGTTGCTGTGATGCTGGGAGCTATGGCACCACTACTTTAAATATTGGCAGAGTCACCCATGGTGGACAGGTTTCAGCAGAGTTTCTAGACTAAGACCATTTCTGAATGGTTAGCCACTGGAAATCTTATAAATAGCAGTGATACATTGTCTGATAGAGTGTTGGGAAATGAGCCCCTCAGGCTGGAAGGCACTCAAAACATGAGTGAGGAAGAGGTGCCTCTTCAAAGAAGAGTTGACACTAATGACCTGAATGGAACAAAACTTTCTTGACCTCCGTTTGCTGACGGTACACAACTCAAAACCAGAAGAAACAGCTGAAAACATCCATTAATAATGTGAACCTGGAATGTAAGAGTTATAAATCTAGGAAAATTGGAAGTTGTCAAAAGTAAAATGGAATGCATAAAGATTGGTATCCTAGACGTTAGTGAGCTAAAATTGACTGGCATTTGCCATTTTGAATCAGACAATCATATGGTTTACTATTCTGGGACGAACAAATTATAGAGGAGTGGTGTTGAAAGACCATTTCAAGATCTATCTTGAAGCACAAAGCTATCTGTGATAGGATAATATCCAGTTGCCTACAAAGAAGACCACTATTATTCAAATTTATACACAAACCACTGAAATCAATGATGATGACGTTGAATTCTAACAACTTCTTCAGTCTGAAATTGATCAAATATGCAATCAAGATGCATCGATCATTACTGATTATTGGAATGCAAAAGTCAGGAACGAAGGAAGGATTGGTAGCTGGAAAATATGGCGTTGGTGATAAAAATGATGCTGGAAAGACCACATGATAGAAATTTGCAAGATGAATGAATAATTCATTGCAGATACCACTGTTCAACAACATAAAAGGCAACTTTATGCCTGGACTGCACCAGAAATCAAATTGAATACACCTGTGGGGACAGATGGTGGAGAAACTCAGTATCATCAGTCAAAACAAAGTCAGGGGCAGACTGTGGAACAGACCATCAATTGCTGAAGAAAATTAAAACATGTTCATGAGAGCCAAAATATGACCTGGAATATATTACACCTGAATTTAGACACCATCTCAAGTACAGATTTGATACACTAGATACTAATGACAGAAGATAAGATGAGTTGTGGGATAACACCAAGAACATCATATAGGAAGAAGCAAAAAGACAGGAAAAAGAAAGAAAAACAAAATGGATGTCAGAAGAGGGTCTGAAACTTGTTATTGAGCATAGAGAAGCTATAGCACATGGAAGAAATGAGGAAGTGAAAGAGCTAAACAGAAAATTTCAAAGGGCAGCAGAGAAGACAAAGTAAAATATCATAATGAAATGTGCAAAATCCTGAAGTTAGAAAACCAAAAGGAAAGAACACTCAGCATTTCACAAGCTGAAATAACTGAAGAAAAAATGCAGACTTCAACATCCTATATTGAATGATTCAGGAAGTATCAAAAGAACTTGGAAGGAATATACAGTCACTATACCAGAAAAGAAGAAGCTCTGGTAGTATAGTGGTTACGAATCAAGCTGCGAACCGCAAGGTCAGCAGTTCAAAACTATCAGCTGTTTTGCTGGAGAAAGATGAGGCTATCTGCTCCCATAAAGATTTATAGCCTCGGAAACCCTGTACAGGGTTGCTATGAGTCGGAACTGACTCGGTGGCACACATCACCACCATACCAGAAAAGAATGGTTGATGCTCAATCATCCTAACAGGCAGCATACGATCAAGAACTGATGGTACTAAAGGAAGAAGTTCATGCTGCACTGAAGGTATTAACGACAAACAAGGCTCTAGGAAATTATGGAATACAAATGAAAATCTTTCAACAATCTGATGCAGCTCCTTTAGTGCTCACTCATTTGTGCCAAGAAATTTGAGAGACAGCTATCTGGCCAGCCAATTGGAATAAATCCGCATTTGTGCTGACTCCAACAGAATGCAGAAATAATAGAACAACAATATTAATATCACATGCAAGTAAAATCTTGCTGAAGATAGTTCAAAAATGGCTGCAGCAGTGCATTAACAGGGAATGGTCAGAAATTCAAGCTGGATTCAGAAGAGGATGTGGAAATAAGGATAGCAAAGACCCCCAACAAGATGGACTGACACAGTGGCAGCAACAATACAGAACAATTTTGAGGATGGGGCTGGACAGGGGAATGTTTTGTTCTGTTGTATACAGGATGCCTGAGTCAGAACCAACTCGACAGCATGTAATAACATGCATTGTAAAGTAACGCTTGGGGTACCAGAGAATGTAGTGTATCTTATCCCTTCCCCAAGAACTTGGAGATCACTATTTTTGTTCACAGTTTGTTAATGAAGAAATGGAGGCTCAGAGAGGTTAAGTAACTTATCTGATGTCACACAGCAAGTGTTAGCTGCTGCTGAGTTGCCTCTGACTTATGATAACCCCAAACAATGAGGTTGGATCATTGTGATTCGTAGGGTTTTCATTGACTGATATATATATAATATATATATTATTATTTTTTTTTTTTTTAAGTATGTCACCGGAACTTTCAAGTTTGTTTCAGTCTTGAAGTTTTGCTGACTAAAACAGCACCATGGCAACACACAAGTCTTCAGTGTCACACCGGTAGTGGCTGGGCATGAGGCACATGTGTCAGAAAATGAACTGAGTTCTGCTGCATGAAGGGAAAGAATACTGCCACTGAACCACAGCTGCCCCTATACCTAGCAAGTAACAGGTTTCAAATGCAAAGA